TGATATTGAAGAACTGAAAAGACGAATTAGAGAAGCATGCCAGTCAATTCCTAGTGAAGTTTTCCGTAATGTAAGAGGGGAGTTCGAAACAGACTTTATTACTGTTTAGAGCAAAATGGACGATATTTCGAATAGTTTATAAGATAAGACAATAACCAACAAATAAAAAAATCCACGCGTAATTCATTTAAAGGAGTCAATTCAATAATGCATCTCAGAACAGGCAAATTATTATAACACGTGTAAGTTGAGATCGCTATTTTTCGGGAACTGCTCGTCAAAAAATAAAACATAAGGGTATCATTTGAAGCAGAATTGAACGCCAATCAAAATGATGTGCCACTTGACACCCCTTCTCATTAAGGATTCTAAGGGTAACATCTACCCTCCTAGGGGGTTGAACATCGAGGGCTGCAAAAAGTCTTTGAAAGTGTCCCCCTTAACTATGAAATTGACCTGTTTTTACAATTTCACATATTATTTACTAGAAGGAAGATATTAAGAGCGGAAATTTTTCAAAGAGACATCTTGTATACTTTCTCAAGGGAACTATACAAATTCAAGACAAGCCCTCTTATAACCCTTCAGTTGAATAAACCTTCGAACGAGCCCCCCAATTAATACAGTGTAACCAGGAAAGTCCGCATCATATGGAATTTTTTTAAATNTAATGAGTGGTAAAAAAACTACCGTACATGTAAGTTGAAATCAGGCCACTGGCATTCAAGTCAAGCGTTCTAAACTACTTCAAGAAGCATCTCACAAATCAGTATGACATTAAGCTATTAAAGTTTCCTAATTATTCTCATTTTGTTATCAAATGGCGGAATTTTCAAAAATACCACATCACAAATACGGTTCGTTTTGCCATTATCCAACAAGAAACGGTCACATAATTGACAGTATTTAAATAGTAATAGAAATAATTTTTACATCAACTTCACTGTTTAAGAACTCTTTCATTTGGAGAAATGCGTGTATGTGGATTTAATCTCCAGCGATTCAGATCCAATGTAAATCGCTAATTTCGCACAGACACCGCTATTAGAGCGATTTAAGGATTTTTCTGTAGTGCTTGTGTTTTGTCCTCAAAAAACATTCGTATAACTATTCAAAATAAAAACTGAAACATTTTCTTTATTAAATTCCTTATCAGTAATATGACATAATTGAAGAGTGATTGAGAGGATCTTTATTTAAATTATCTCATCATAAATTCCTGCAGAAATAGAAAATGAACGAACGAAGTAAAGCCATAAAAATAATAATACTATTCATTTTTCATATCTCCAATGGTATATCACAGATGAGTTTTGACTTGAAATTCCATATAAGTGGAATGAAATTCGTAAAATACACATACGGTAAAAGTGAAAGCTAATTTATTTATGCGGGGTTCAGATAATAAAATATATGATTTTATGATATCAGTTGGCAACATCGCATTCTCTTCTCTTTTATCCTAGTATTTTTGTCCGCTGATCACGAATCTGAGGTAAAAATTTGACTCAAGCATCAATTTTTGCACATATGAATATTCAAAACAGTTGTGTCAGGGGGTCATTCAGAACACTAAAGAAAAATCAATCACATACTGTGGACCTTCATTCACACCTTCATCTACTTCAGACTTTCAGAGATTTTTTTCTATAAACCGTGAACGCGATGATGAAATATTGTTAGGTCGATAGGGAAATAACACATTGAGTATTTCCACGAAAATCTTTTGTTACATTAACCGTAATCCACTATCACAAATTTTCCTACTATACGAAAAATATCGTCGATTACCCAAAGTTTTTACACAAATGTTGAAAATTCATTGAACCAACATGTTTCTGTACTCAACTCGAAATTTGAAGGTAATTTATTGGTTAATTTATTCCTGCATCAATTGCAAATTTTTTAATCCAGTGTATGGTGAAAGTTTTTTCTTGGAATTTGGTTTGAGATAATGTAGAACTTTTTCTAAAAAATAAAATTTTCTGGCAAATCGCCTCACAATTTTTTTTTTCATTTTTAGGTAACATTTTGAAACTCACTGTACATTTTATACACCTCATGTGTTTGAGTATACTATATGAAGAAAACAATTTTTACGATCATCAATATTTCTAACAGATAATTATCATTTTCTGGACTTAATAATGTTGATAGATATCACATACTGAAAGCTTGACATTTAGATTATTTTTTGAGTTCATATCTTCATTTTATTTTTCTGGAAATAATCATATATCTCTTGTATACCAAGCTCACATGCCCAAAATGCATGCATCCCGCAATTTTCTAAAAAAAATTCAGTAAACGATTTTGTACATAAAAATTCAAGATGAAATCCCTCGAACTACTAATCTAATGTTTGCCTTCACAAAAAATCATGATTTGAGTTATTATTCGATTGGTAATTTTACCACAAGTAATTTACTATTTGAGGCAAATTTGAAAAAGTGTTCGTTTTCTGCGAATGTCTCAAAACCTATTGCAGATAATATTACTTATAAGGTTATTTTTATTCATGTCTTGAGCATTCAAAAAACTACCACAGTCCGTCGCGTAATTCTGATATGTACAGTTTTTGGTGGAATCAAATGTGCCAAGTCACTTAAACACTGCCCGTGAAAGTATCCATAGAAGAGAGATAAATCTCCAGCCTTTCTTCGATGTTCCAGACTGTCAAGGTTACAAGTGATGTTTGCGTCTCCAATCAGGTGGATGACTGTTTTCTGGATGAAATTCAGCAGCTTTAGGGGTGGAGCACTATACATGAGAACAATACTCCAAAGAAGGCCTGATCTGAGCTTTATAAAGCATCAAAAGTTGCTGAGGTGTGTACAGTTTTCTAGTTCAGAACAGCGTTTCAAGCTTTTGAGAAGAAACCTTTGCAATTTCAGCAATTTGCTATGCTCTTTAATTCTTTGGGAAAATGTTCTTCCTGTTACAGTTTTGGGCAAGAGCCACACGTCAGCTTATATACTCCTGATCTATCCGACACCGAAATTTTGTCTTTATTGTTTTTAATAAATTTTCTTAGACTATTATTCGTTCTGTAAGCTACGTTAACGCATTCTTTCTTCAAAAAACGGGCAATATTATTGGTTAGTTCACCCAAATATGACAATGTCCTATAACTGACATTATCGCATCTTGAAGTTGGGTAGACTCTAAACAAGTAGCTTAAGATGCCTTAGCTGAAAGAGAAAACTAGTTATCAACTTTATTTTTTCAAATACAGACCTTTAGTTTTTCATCGTTTTCTGTAGCCAATGTAATAATAAATTCAGCTATGTATTACAATACAGGTCCGAAACGAAATTTCTGGCGTCAAATACCTCACGGGTTGGGTCAAGTATCCTCAGATGGAGGTTTACTAGACCCAGTTAACAACTTCAAAAAACTCATTACTACTCATTAATAAAACCCATTAATAAAATACAAAAATAGAAAAATTCAAAAGTGATTTCTGGGTCAAGTATCCTCAATTTTCTCTATGTACCTATTTTGTCAAATCCTCAATATTTATAAATATTTTTTTGTTGAAGCGTCAGAATCACCTTTTGTACCCGTGTGTTTAACGCTCAACTGAAATTATAAATAATGGTGTTACAACTATCGAAAGTATAACCTTTTTTGAGAAATACTTTCCTTTTTTGAGAGTCTTTTTTCAAATTTGGAATATCTGTAAGAGTTTGCAAGATATTCGTCGAAAACCCACCCATCCTGATTTTTAACTTAATTGTTTATATTTTTCAAACTAAGTATTTGTTAGCCCAACTAGGCTCAAATTGTAAATGGGAGAAATGGCACTGTGAACTTGTATACGGTCTCGGGATTTCATCAAATTATAATATAATCGGTCATATGCTTAGCAAAATTTCGAAAATTATTTGTTTGCACATATTTCAATTCATTAGACTTGGTGTACTCATAATCCTTAGAATAAGGATGTTATAATTCACCTATCGAATCCCAAACTCCAACCATTTTAAAATCTGAGGAAATAAGCAGGGATCGAACCTATGTCCAACATAGCAGTGATTTTATGTGCAGAACTCACAAGCCACCTGCTACCAATCGACAAACGTAAATACGAGCGTAAATAAACAAATAACAAAACCCCTTTTGTAACTCAATCGGAGGTTACCCTGTATATTACCACCATCTCAAATGATGCATTTGATAGAATGTTGAGGCCAAAATAACCGCATAAATTAATAAACATGTTAATATTTAATATTAAACATATTGCTGAATCGTCAGTTACTGTGGAATGCCACATTCCGCAGATTCCACCGTAGACATGTAACAAATAAAATTCCTGATAAGGGTGTGATGAATAAATATCGGATAGAGAGGAGGTAGGTTCCGCCTAAACCAATGGAATGTGGAATCAATGTATTCATTCCATTTAGGACATAAAACGTACCGAGTCTGAAAATTTCACAAGATTCTCAATTTGCATTTCATTGGGTGACGTAAAACGTATTCACGGAAAGATTGTAAATATTTTTAGACACAACAATTCAACAATCTAATATTTATCTTTCAATTTGCGCATATTTTCATAACGGTGGCAGCACTACCGCTCGTGTTTTTGAATCTAAAATTTCTTGGGTAAGATATTTCTATGTTTTCAGTGGTACTGAGGAATGTTTGATGCTGATAAGAAGTCAATCAGGTCACTCTAGGTTAAGGGCAAATTGTTCACTGTTGAGAAATAACTTATTAATGCCAGTTTCCGTAATACGGTCATAAATAGGCCTTTAACATGCGAGGAGCAATACCTAGATAAGAATGGAATGTTAATTGACAATTAAATAGTACCAGTAAACATTCGTGTCATCAAATTTTTTAATAAAACCATACACGGGAGGAGGACAAAATCTAACCCTAAATGGAAATAAGGACCGTTCAATCAAATTCCTTTGGAAATTCAGTTCGAAAGATGTCATTCAACTTTTTAATAGCAAAGAGATAGTGAGGAATGCGCTTAGTCCTACCTGTCTCTCGGGTCAATCCACGTCGTTTTTTTCGTAATATGGTCTATAAAATACACTTTTCCATCGTAGTCCCGACCGAAATCCCATCCTTCGGGCAGTGGGATCTCACCGTTTCGTTTTCTGGGCATATTTCACGAATTAATCCATTCAGTCTGTAAGAACTAGCACACACAACACTAACTACACGGCCATGTTGAATACCACATTATCAACTGGGACAGCGTTGCCAGACTGTGGCTTACGAAATTCCTAGAGAAGAAATTCTTGGAGTCGTTTTCACTTTTCGAATTTAGTAAACAGAAATTAGCGGGGTTACCGTACCCATGTCCCGAGTGTGGGTGCCAGAATATAGTGTAGTTTTCATACGGGTAAATGAGAAGCATCAATATTAATTATATATGAGTTTCTGTTGACTTATCAGTAAAAACAAGGTGTACTTGAATAAATGTGAAACTTCATACAGTGTGATCATGCATTAGCGCCAAGGGATTTAATTTCAGTACTTAAACTGCGAAAAATATGCGGGTTGTGGTATCTATTCTACTTAAAAGCGAAAATGAATTTTTCGGAAATATTGTCAATAATAAATTGATTAATGAATATAGCTGTTACTACATGGTAGGAGATCATCATGAAAAAATGAGAATTAAAACTTCTCTCATGTTTTTAAGACTTGTATTTGTAACTAATGTTTGTAACGTTTATTGTATAAGTTTGAAAATACCTTTATAGGATGAAACTGCAGTTAGCACTTTATTGCAGTACTATGTTGTTTGTCACTTGTACTTGTAACGTTTGTAACGTTTTTTGTATTACTTTCAAAATGTCCTTATAGGACGAAAAGTTAGTTACAAGAACAAGTAATAATAATGAAAATAATAGTTTTCTTTGACTATTAGAGTCCTTGGTGGAATAATTCCCTCTCTATTAGCGAATCTTAAGAGCATGCCGGCTTGGCGCAGTAAGGACAAAATTTTAGCAGGCCAAAATTTTAGCCGGACAAATGCAGAAGGCTGTCATTCTTGGCTGTCACTGCACTTGCTTAGGGCACATGAGAAGTCATTAAAATATATGTTAATATATGTAGGAATAAAATAAGGAAGTCAGATCTCGGAAGAATAATTCCATAGTTATCACCCGAAGACGATTGTGGATACTAACAATCGAAACGTCTTGAAGTAACTTGGTTTGGAATCTTTTAATTTTCATTTCTTGATGATAATTTTTTAAATTTCATCTAGTATTGAGAGTTCTTTTTTTTATTTCTTGGTTGATGCTTTTATTTTATTTTATTGTAATTTCAGTTTTTTTGCTTAATATAATTGTTATTTTTAGCTGATCTTTTTCATTTTTCACAGATTCTACGAGAAATTTGAAATCAATGTTTATCATATTAGACAATGGAAGTCCGAACAAATGAAATGCACTCTTTTTTCTGTTCGAGGTCTCAAGGCTTTTATCGTTTCTTCGTCGGAAACTCTACAATTATTAATGTACTTTTAAAAAATGGTGCAAAGAACATGTTACTACTCAAGAAAATGAAGTTAGCAGAAATATAACGAAGAGGATCCCCATATTTTTAATGTCAAAAATAAAATTGGTTAAAAACATATGTCCACATACACAAATTGTATGGTAAAATAAGGTGATTACTTTGATAACATGATATTTTATCATACAATTTATGTATTTGAACATATATTGTTGATAATCTCCAACCCCCATGCCTTTTTTGACTTTGGCGATTTTAAAAATTTCGCAATTTCTTCAGGTATTTTTCCAAATTTATAGATACTAAGCCGTTGTTTGTATGCCTTATCATCAGTGTATTTTCAAAAAATAGATAACCCAACTTGACGGTCTACAATCTTCATATTTTCTGTAGAAGTTTAAATGTTCCACTACAATAAATGAACACAATATTTTATTTTCGTGCCAGAATGAGCAAAGAATAATTTTTCTCATATCTCCAATTTGATCTTTTTCCATTCGGTAGGTATAGTTCATCACTTCTACATGCTTCNGATGACCATGGAAAGAACGATATCTTCTCCGGCCAGAAAAGTGAGAATCTCTGGAAGGGAAATCGACTGGCAAGCGCGGGTAAAGTAACTCGGTCTTCTAATAGACCGTAGGCTCACACTGGAACCCGGACATCATAACCGTGAAGGCAAAGATCGAGGGTCGGATCAAAAGTATTTACCCTCTAATCAACAAACGATCCAAATTGAGCCTTAAGAATAAAATTACGATCTATAACATGATGTTCAAGCCTGTCATCATGTATGCTTCAGGTGTCTGGGGACAAGCGGCTAATATCTCCATTCCAGAGAGACTAAAAAATAAGTTAATAAGAATGATTGTGAATGTTCCGTGGTTCGTGCAGAACGAAGCCATCCGCAGAGATTTGCAGCTGCCTTCTATTCAGCAATCCATTCAGTCGAGGAATCAGCGAGTTCTCGATTATGTGGAAACTCACGATAATCCCTTAGGGAAGCTATAGACTATGCTGTAGACGACCCCTCCCGATATAGAAGGCCCCGACACTCTGTCGAATGAAGCACTCATGTCCCCCGTTAACAGATGAACAATTTCCTCATCCATTCACCCCAGCCAGGCAGGGGTCCACTGTAAAGGGCGGTACTGATGTCTGAGGACATTCATGCCGCCATCCCATGATCAGTTATGACCCGTTTGTCCTTCTGACGAACACCAGTCGAAAGGGTAAGGGAGCCAGGCTCCAACCTGATTAAACAAAGATGGCTGTCGGAAATCCACAAACCACAGCGGTTCTCAGAGCCACCATAACCCATGCCATCGGTCAAATTCAGCATGATTTATGCGCCAAAGTCATGGAAAATTGGACGTTTCGGATGCGCTCCATCCAGAGACGCTGTGGCGGATATTTAAATGATGTTATATTCCACACATAATGGCGTCAATAGGTCTTTCAAAAGAATACAAAATTTCGATATGTCACACACACTTTTTTATATTCAAATTTGGAGATGGAAAGCGCCTATTAAAAGACCTTAAGTATATTAAAGACGAGTGTGTAGTTAGCCTTATCCACAAAGTACACTGAGAAAAAAAATCGTAACACAAAAAATTGACCACGAGATTCAGATAAATGTTTCCTGTTGATCAATTGAATAAGATGAAATTTGCTTCAAATATATGCAATTTTGTAGCTGTACAAATTCAACTCACTCAATTTCCACTCCCTTAGATGACCATCACAAAAGTAATGTTTATCTTGTTGAATCGATAACCATGAATAACATATCTCAATATTGTACGAATTTAACTTTTCATGATACGATTTTTTGTAATTCATATCCCGTTTTCATTCCCTCAGAGGGCCTGGAAAATATTTCTACTACTTCAATCTACCTGGAAAACTCGCAAGTACAGTTAATCTTGTCCAATTGATCAACATAAATACTTTTACAGTATTACAAAGTCAAGCTGCAGTTGGAGACAGAAGACGAATCTCGTTCGGCGGTCGATGTCAAAGCTTGGCTTTGCAAATAATCGCCTTCGGAGCCTCGTTTATTTTGGATATTCGAGGATTGAGTCTTTTGTCGGTCCCATAGATGGCGTCTTCGTAGTAGAAGATGTCATCACCTTCAATGAAACTGTTTGTCCAGGCATTAACATTGGTATCAGTGACATCAATTGTAATAAATCATTTAAGATACTGTATGAAAATGATCAATAGATAATTGACTTCCTGTGTTTTCAGATATATACCGAATTGATCATTACCGATGAAACCAGCAGATAGATATTCAACAGGGATTAAAATAATGCCGTTAATACTTAAGAGGCTTTGCTTTCTACTACACTACGTTTACAAACTCTAACCAAAAGACAATTTGGTACAACAAGCGCCAAACGTGATCGCGAGGGATCGCGCAGGTATAGACTCTCCCAACTAAATTACAATTGATTACGATAAGCCCTTTGCCGGCCAGTATCATACCTATAATTAGTTTTAATTAGGGTAACAAATGGAACATGACTTCTTTGTAATTTCTTTTCATAGTTTATTTAATACTATAGATAGTTCATTAAAATGTTATATAATGATACAGTCATCAAAAAATTCAATCAGTCACTATCTGAATACAAATTTTCTTCATCTTCACTGCTGCTTGTGCTGCTATCGTCATTTAAATTTATAATCACTGGATTTACCCCTGTTTGAACGCTTGTGAATGTTTCATTTTCTCAATGTTTCCGCTCTACATATATTTACTACATGTCGGCAACGATTTTGTCATTTCTCGGAAGTGATTTGATCAAACTCATGCTCCGCCAGTTTCCTCACATCTTCCAACTTGAGAGTTACATTCTTTTGGGATACATTGTTTTTGACAGTAGCCCAAACGAATTCAATGGGATTCAAATCCGGATGGTAGGGTGGAAGTCACAAAACGTTATGTCCGTGTTCAAGCATACCCTAATCAAATTTGTATCTAATTATGATGCTTTTTATTTACCTTAATCAAGTCGTATAATTCGGGTTTGAACATGGTAGGGGTAAACATAATGCTTTTTTCGTACAATCACTTCACCATGTCAGCCTTCCTAGAATTTGCGTTGGGAGCTGGATTAATTTGGATATTATGATATGGAGTATTATCGGTCACTACTACCGAGTTCACAGATAAATTTGGGATCAACTTTTCTTGTAACCATTTACCATGATTTTCAGAATTCATTTCTGAATGATAATTCCTTGATGTCTTCTCCTGCGTGGAAAATAATAAGTTTGGTCTCTTCGCAATATTTTTAAATAATCGTTTGGTTGATTCATCCTTCCAGTTCTTCTTTCCCAAAAAAACTAAACTCTCCTAAAAATATACCCTTGTCAATTTCGTCAACTAATTACGCCTTCAAACTCTTTTGAATCACCTCCTCAACTGGAGAATGCAACAGGGCCAACATTGCGATAAATACTGAATACCTTGAAGTGTTTCCAGTAGAACATGCAGCATCCTTCGAAGACTTTTGCAACATTGAACGAACATTCATCGCAGACAATAGGGACCTTGCAGATTGTTTTACATCGTAAATGTGTTCTGCTATGATAACTATTAACTATTACATAATATGAATAGTGAAATATCAATAGTCACTTTATAAGAAATATTATAAGTTTCTTGCGTTGAAAAACCAATTGAAACAAGCGTTTAAAGGCGCCAACTGTCATG